TATATATGTATGTATATATATATAAATATATATACGATATCTACGCACCCGCTTCTCGCTCATCTCGCACTTGGCTGCCACCGTGCTGAGCCTGTCAGGGCCTTCTAAAGTGTCATTGAACACTTTGGTAAGGTTGTCTTTGATGCGTTGCTGTGACTCGTCGTCCAACCTTTCGCTCTCACTCGGCTGGAATTCAGAGTCTGAATCAGACGATTCTAAGCTGTGTATGTCGAGTGATATGGGTGACTTGTGCGTGACATATATATATGTCTGTGATATGGTTCTATTGGTATTTCAATCTCGACAAATTTTAGGAACCACTACATATGTGTGTCGGTCACAAAAGAACAATTAAGTCGTCAGTAAGTCGACAGGAGATATAGGTAGGTATCAAAAACTAAAAACCCATGAACCGTCAACAAGTTAAAGCAGCTACACCGTAAGCCGTCAGGACTTAAACAGTCACACTCAAACTGAGGCAATAGATTTCACATTCGATAAGCACACGCCGAGCATACATATGTCACACACGCCTACACGTCTGTTGACATATTCTAGATATAGTAAAGCAGCGGTGATCTAGAAATTGAGCATGAATCGATTATTGGACCAGAGGCAACGCAAAGAACCTTGATATGTATTTCTCGAACGAATCTATAAATAGGAGAGTGATCGATTAACGAACTAGAGGTAACGCACTCCAGACAAATCGAACCACTTACTCTCTCATGTCCTTCTTGGCTGTGATGAGACCCAGTTTTTTCAAACGGTTGACCACCTGTTAACGGCACAGGGTTGTTGAGGTGGTGTCAATACATACTTAAGTAATATATACATATATATGTATGCATACTTGTATTTCTACAAAAATGGACGCAACGCAGATGTACGTGATTTTCAGGGCACTGTATTAAACTGATGTATAATATTTACAATCGCATAACATATCAATCCTATTGATCAGCCGGAACACCCCTATAAACCACAACATAATCGCACGCACAAAATCGCCTTTGACAACGGATGCAGTCACTCTACCTACCATCATCTCGCCTCTACTACCATCCAACTCGTCCATAATGGCCTCGAGAACATGCTTCTCCTCCGACGCATTGATGGTGTTGAACAGCTTTTGCAACCGTGTGTCTTCTTCTAGAGTCCAGCTGTGCTTGCTGGCTTCCTTCGCTCTGTCCATCTCCTCAATCTCATCTTCATCTGAAGAGTATATAGGGTTTTGGTATTCGAGGACAAAGTGTTTGGAATATTTAATATACACATAGCATTCCATAATTTCTGTGATAGTGGAGAAGAAAAAGTTTAGGACCATTTCCAGAGATGGTGGCCGTCGTTCGAAATCACGACCAAGGAGCAGGCATTCGTGTATTCATCTATCTGTTCGCAAGAATTTATTCTGTGTTACTTCACCTGTTCACAAAGAGATACATATTTGCTTATTTATATGTTCACATATCCTCATAAGAACTATACGGCCTATACTTTGATTGTAGCTGTACCCTGGACAAGCTTTCCGCATAAAATAATACGATAGATCTACTGTCATTGAACCACTTAAACTATACATGATACATAGTAGCATCTGTTGTACTTGAACTCGCATGCACTACAACAACGACAAGTATGTTTACGTTGGCAGGCACCAGAGTGATCCTTGGTTATTCAACAGCTATGGTTCTAACGATATACATATATAAGGGCACAACACGATAATATAAATACATTTTTGTGTGTTTGTTTGTGTGTATATGTGTGTGTTTGTGTATGAGTCTGCGTGTGTTTGTGTGTATGTGCATATGTGGGTGGGTGAGTGGGTGTGGGTGTATATGTGTATATATATATATATATATATGTGTGTGTGTGTGTGTGTGTGTGTGTGTGTGTGTGTGTGTGTGTGTGTGTTGTGTGTGTGTCTGTGTTGTGTGTGTGTGT